GGGAGAAGACTCAAAATCTAAGCACTTTTTTCTTCCACCTAGATGTATCCACTTCTAAATTATATTCCTTCTCCACTCTGGTATGCCATATCCTAACCCATCTGGGATATTACCTGAACACTCTTAAGTGCCATTGCCTAACTGCACTCCCCAGTATCTTGGAAGAACCATCAATGGAAAGGCATGCTCCAGGGGTCAGGTCATGCAATAGTCCCTCCAGATTTCATAGGTAACCATAATGTATATGCCCCAACCATGACTGTGCATAATACTCTATGAAATTCACTCTTTTAGCTACACACAAGCTGGCTGGAGAGGAATCAACACTTTCAAACTCTGGTTGCTAAATTCCCAGTTTTGAAATTTCATTGCCAAGTAATTTGTGTTGCCTGGATTGTACGTCACTGAGGGGCAGCCTGAAGAAATGTTGCATCCCCACTGTGCCTAATTAGCAAGTCAGCACTTGAACTTTGGCTCAGATGATACAGTGGAATATGGAGTTTAAGGAGGCAAGAACCCAAAGCATATGTTCGTATCTTAGTTTTATGGCTTCTAGTTTCCCAAGAACATGTACTCAACTTTTAGTTATCCTTTCAACTTTAAGAGCTTATCTCAATAGGAAAAATGGAAGCAGTGTTATTTCAACCATGTAATTTTGTCTGATGATATTAAAACAGACACCCACTAAGTTGGCATAATTATTTAAATTGTCAAGGAAACAGGAAATATAGGACTACCTTGCCAAGGAGACAGATACACATCGAATTTCCATTCATTCTATTAACACTCAAGACCTCATTCTGCAGAATTTCCTTAAGTGCACACAGGACATAAATTAAAAAAAAAATCTTATTTTTAATCATATTTTTAAAAGATAAAACTTACTAAGTATATAAACAGGTAAATAATATGTGTTCATTCCAAAAAAACCTGTTTCCCATGAGCATTCTTTTTCATTTTATTACACTGGAATTATGTTATTAAACCTACTACAGTCTAGCAGGTAAAGATTTTACTGCATCGTCAGGGAGCTACTTCTTACACTAAGAGTTATTAAAGATTATTTGTATCCTGTTCTAGAGGACTTAAGCTCCAAGATTTAATACAGTAGATTTCTCATGATCCTTCTCAATCAAGATTAAAAATTAAATTTGATGAATCTGCACCATATCAATAGTCCCATCAGATAGACAGGGATGAGTGAGTATTCACAGTAACTTCAGGCATCTAATTGGAGTTCCAGTATTCAAAGCCTAGGTCACTGTATAGACTGCTGGGAAGCACAGACCCCAAATATTGGTGTCTTGATTAACCTTGGGAGGCACCTAATTTATAAACTCAGTCAGCAGAATTTGGTAATTTACAGCAAGGACCCTGCAGAGCAACAAATGAAAAGACATATGTAATTCACTTACAATTTAGACTGGGATGTGGAGCTGTGTGAAGAAACCAGAAAATTCTTATTGATTTCTATAAATCCTAAATCACTTTCTTCTTCTGATCATCTCTTAAATATTTTAACGATCACCACCAGACAAATATTCCACTCAAATCTGGATTTTGACTCTCACAGGCTCCATACACAGGTTGTTGTGATGATGACTTGAAGGCTATGGATACACAGAGCAATATCACAAGCTTTTTTTTTTTTTTTCTGAGTCAGAAATAATAAATGCATGCACATTGAAAGTCAATCCTTAAATTTCTTGGCGGAAAGGTCAAAAGTATTGTGAAAGGCTTAAGGAAAAAAAAAGGTGTGCGTTTCTTTTTTATAAACAGGATGAGGTCACTTGGCACATGAAAGAAAGTATAAAAGAAATCAAGAGTTAAAACAAAATGTTAGTATCAACAGCTGAAGGAAGACAAAAGGTGATGGAATTCCCATTTTTGAATTGGTAGTGAAGACTGGTTCAATGATTATAAAATTCAGTGCAAATCCAAGAACAAGATGATCCCCCCTGACAATAATTACCAGGTCCTGGTATTAGCAAGAAAAAGGGCATTTTTATTATTACAGATGTGTGTAGCAGAAATGTTGTTATCCATTAAAGTCCCCTATTATTCTGCTTTCAGTTACCCTCTATTAATGAAGTCTTCATGATTTGACAACTCATTCTTTAATTGTCACCCTATGCTAGCCTCTAGTTCACAGCCACAGTGAGCTGAGTTTTCATATATTATACATATTATGTACTGAGTTTTCCAAGCTTTCACCTTTGACATGATCTTTATCTCTGTAAATGACATTCTCCTACGCAGCCAGCACATGGCTTCAGAGAATGCTTTGCAGAGTGATAAATTACACTCCGTGTTCTTTTGACAATGGAAGAGTATCCTTATGATCAAGCATTTCTTTGCTATATAATCCTGAAGTCTGCAACTCTCCTGTGAGAGACATGTCAACTCTAACATTTGGCATTAAGAAGTCTTTAATGCTAATTATCCTGCCATTCTTCAACTCTCTCTCTCAAGAGTAGTTTTTAAGATTCCACAGATACCAGCTCTGTAGTTCTGTTTATTTTTTCCCCTTCAGAAACTTATATGATATTTATTCCCTCAAGAAGAGACTGCTTATACCTAGAAACCTGTACAACTACATTTATGTGTTGCAATGCCTTATGCACTGTAATGCCTCATAGATGCCAGGCTCCCTGTGTGATATTCACACTACTTAGGTGCTTCAGTTGTTATGTTCCATGTGTAGCATTTTAAGAAAAGATTCGCAAACATTCAGCACACTAAGGGGGAAGACACAAAAGCTAGCCAAAAGGAAACACTGGAAGAAACATATTTTAACTACCTATTTATTCAATTTTAGATGGCAAATTCTTGTTTACAAGGAGTCATGTATACGCTTGAATTCTACAACTATAACATTCTCTTGGAAAAAAAATGGGCAGGGGTTATACTTCAAAAAACAAAGCACATGTCCAAATAAGCAGGTTGCAATGCATGTTCCCCTCTTCCTCCACTCTTCCTGCAATAGCTGTCATTACAGCACTTCTCTAGTGATGTGGGGAACTCAAGTTCAGTCTTCTCCCCAGTCTTTTAGCTTCTATCCTCAAACACATAGGCAAGAAGAGATGGCTAGATGGTTCTCTCTCTGTCACATCACAGACAAATAAAATATAAGAAAGACCAGGCTAAAACCCTTTGTGATATAATCAAGTTTCACCTATGTAACCTTAGTACAGCAACATAAAGATCCTCCAGAGGTTAAGATACAGATACAGTCCAAAGTGACAAAAGAGTAAGGGAGAGCCTTTCTCAAATACTTGGCCTTTTCAACTTTGAACAGTCATTTTAGCCAAGGTCTGACATCAGTCCAGATTTGTGCACTGCCTTTCAAGACAAATGGCTAATTCTGATATTTTTCTTTTGAATTTTGCAAAATGCTTCTGATACCACTTCCTCCACATCCCAGGTATCTCAGTTTACTACCTTATGAATGTGTGTTTTCAGAATTGAAGAGTTTATTATTTAATCTTGCATCATCCTGCTAGATGTAGGCTGCTATCAATAGTGAGCCCCTAATCATGTTTCCCTTTAATGCAAGTATTCATCATTTGGCTCTGGTTATGATCAAGGCTGAGATTTTGAAAACCAAGGGCTAACATACGAACACCCAAACCATATCAGGCCCAAGGACTTAAATCCTGCCTCCCACAGAAACCTTTGCTGGGAAAAGAGCATGAAAACAAAGCAATCATACAACAAACTTCCCCAGAACACTCTCCCAGTCTCAAGGATTTGCAGCACAGGGAATTCTTGAGAATGAAGTTGCATCTTTGTGTTTAATTACCCTCAGTGGATAAATTCATGGACAGAAAACCCAACTGCTTTTTGAATTCATGTAAGCTTTCACCATCCACTATACCCAGTGACAAGAAGCTCCAAAATCTATACGGTGTGTGAGGAAATGCTAATTCATGTGTGAGGATATACCAATACATTGGTATCTCCTTAACTTAATATATTGGTAAACTTCATCATGCTTTTCACCTTTTTACTTCATGCTGCTGAACACAACCTGAACACCACAGGACTTGGCACAAACTGAAGAGTTCATTAATTTCTGCACTACTTACAGCTCAAAGGGCTGAACTGTGTGCTTGTGTCAGTATGAACCAGTGGTTTATGTTTGGCTTTGATAAAAACACTGGCCCACTTTCCATGATTATAGCAAAGGTAAAAGCTAAAAGTTCAGGAAAATAAGAGCTCTAAAATCAGTCAATTGCTGAATCTTCTAGGACTCCAGTACAAGGCTGTGCCAGATGCCTGGCAAGAAGCAAAGGCTTAGCCTTTGTATAAATGAATTAGCCATCTTGCCTGCATTTAAGGTTAGGAAGAAGGGGGCCTAAGACACTCCATGCATGTCTGTATTCCGCATGTTTCACAAGCCTAGAACAAGGTACACAGGTATCAGCAAGCAGGTGCCCACGGCTGAAGTTTGGGTTTGGTGGATTATTTTTTTTTTTTTAAATCAATAAAGGTAAGTTCCTGCTTTAGTAAAGAAAGGGTTTAAAAATATAGTTTATTCATGGATCTTGCATAGCCCTCCTAGCTAGATTAAGGTCAAAAACTGGGTTCGGCCAATAGGATAAGTCATCTCACTATGGATTAGGCTATAGAAGAGACTGAAGTCAGGAGCAAGTTTTAGGAAGAGGAAAGAAGAGACATTTTCTTCTAGCTTGATAATCTTGCAAGATCAAGGCATAGTTTATTGCTAGAATTTTCCTGTTTGAAAATGACAGAATGAGAGCTGACATATGCCACTATTTTTTGCTGATATTTAATTCTAATGCATGTATTGCTTATCAAGATAAAGTAAGTTTAGGACAAAGTCTGTATATGGACTCTGGGTGTCATTGATTTTGGAGTAGGCTTTATACTAGAGCAAAAATTTGGGAAAAAAAAGGGGTAGGGGTCAAAGGCTTCAGGTTACTGCTGACACCCATACAACTCTCAGGGCAGAGATACAGTCTGACATGATCGCAAAAATGAATTTACCTTTGGCAGCAGTGCAGGATTTGGACTCCTACAATTTTTGGCGAGGATTAGAGCTTACAGACGGAGGAAACAAGATGGACTGGTGTATGTGGCCTGTAAGAATTGCACAAAGGCTTACATCAGAGGCTTCCACACCTCAAGTAAATGCATCAACTGGATTAGTGGTTTGCCCAAGGGCACAGTTTCTCTCATGTTGCTTGCCCTGCAGATAGAACAAAACATAGTCACATCTTGACGAAAGAAAGAGTTCAAAAAAAGCCCATTTTCAATTCTAAAAAATAATAGCAGACTTTTTGAAAACCTAAGTTTACTGGAATAGAAAGGCCACTCACAATTCAGTTTTATTCTTTGTCTCTTTCCCACTGAAATTTAAAGAGCCATACAGTTAGAGGCAGACAGGGAAGAAATATCAAGAGACAGGGATTAAGATTCATCTCCTACAGCAGGAACCAAATTCAGGAGAAAACCAAAGTCAAAACAGAAGACAAGAATTCACAGTAGACTTTGACGCAAGCCTCAGTAAGTGAAGGCTTTAGTCATTTACACAGAACCAGTTATACAAAATTGCTTTTGCCCAGGACTCATGCTACCTAAAAGCTCACCTCAGCACACACCACACCCTTCAAAAGGGGCTTGTGCTGCAGAGGTGTTGGCTTGCTAGGCTCAGCTGTTTCATGAAGTTGAAAGCATCTCTGGGACCTCCTACTCAAGCTTATTCCTTGGGTTGCAAGGCAAATCAGCTGTGTTAGCAACAGCCTCTTCACCCTGTTGCTGAGTCAGAAGAGGTTGAAGCCTCCACTGAGGAAAAGCTAGTATCTCTCTGAGTCTGGTGGCAGGTTTGTTTTAGTGCTGCATGTTAGCAGATAATACCTAAAGGCTGTATCTCTAGATGCCTGTGTTACCTTGCGCAGGGGTAACATGGCATGTGCTACAGAGTGTGCTGGTGGCAGGGAGCCTTGGGCAATCACCTGCTCACTGCTCTCGTCCCTGCGCTTTCTACAGAGCTATCAGCTGCTCTGATAAGCAAAGGCACTTCTCTTTTTAGTGGTTAAGAATGACATTGTTTTTCAAAGCTGAAAGTATGAACTGAATGCCTGATTCCATTAATATTTCCATGCAGCTAGTGTGGGTGGACTTTGACAGCTCAGTGAACCATACTGATTCTCCCCTTTGAATGTGCACAGGGAGCAACGGGGTGCTACAGAATGTCAGGTAACTGCTGCTCTTTTGCAGCTAACAACTTTTATTGTATTAGATAACGGGAAGAATACAAATAGCCCCTATAACAAAAGCAGAAAAAAACAGCCTCAATCTGTGCTGTATTTTTTATCAGACAAATGAATTCCCTAGGAATTTAATTTCAAAGCAATACTAGATTATCTTCTCTAATAAGTAAAAAACTGAATGAGTTCACACTGGCAAGATGACATTTATTTTACTGAAAGGAAGTGCATTAGTACCTTCAAATCAATTCCTTGCAAGATGCAGACCCTGAACAAACAGCTCCTTAGATATTCACAGCAATCAATATACTGTTTTGTAAGCACCAGACCAGGCATCTGAAGCTTAGCTTGTAGTTTCCCCTCTGTTCTGATTAAAATGCAGCCCCACTGAAATGTAAGAACTGGTTCTCCATTTGACGGTGAGGACTGTGAGAATATTTGTACATTACTGCACTTCCCTGTGTTCCTCTGGCTTTCTGTATGTTGCTTGTCAGCATATGAGATGCGCAGGTGATAATCCTCTGTCTACACAAGACAGGAGGAGTCTAATTGGAGAGTCCAGAGTTGAATGGTCTTCAGGCTGAAGAAAGCACAATTTTGGAGACTATAGGAACAATATCCACCAGACAGTAGCTTTTAAAAATTAATCCCTCCTTCCATTCTCTCCCCTGTCTGAAGAGAATTCCAAAATTGGCATTCAGGTCAGAGATGGCATTCAGATGCAAGAAGTTTTCTACAGAAGACTTTTCTTTCTTTCCTTTCTCAGTCCCATGCTTGAGACTTAACAATTTTATCCCATTTCTTTTTTTCTTTGAAGTACTTATAACAATTTTGAAATAAAAACTCCCTTTCAAATTGAAAAGCTTAAACACATGAAAATAATGTGTTCTGAACATAACACTTGAATGTAGAAAACAATTCCCTACTTTTTTGGTCAAAACTGTATATCAAATATTGACAGACTCTGTCCTGAACAAGTAAATTCTGCCCTTATCCCAACTGAATTTTTAATGAAATTCACATTTACCAAAATAAATTCAGCCAATCATGCCCAACACACAGGTTTCTTGATATGGGAAATCATTGAAAAAAACAGATTCAGATTTGCTCATTTTTTTTAACTATAATACACAAAAACAATGGTTTTAATGTCTGCTACATTGAGCTTTAGATAAGAATGTGGTATTTTGCTAGCACGTAAATGAGCACAAAGCTTCAAGCATATGAGGAGTGTCAATGTCTTATTTAAAAAGAAATAAATGTTTGTTGGGTTTTTAGCTGCTTTTTTTTTTTTACGAGTGATTAAAGGCTATCATTTCCTCTTAATGTTCCATAATTGGTTATTTAACTCCCACTGACACTAATGGGAACAGCCTGCTTAATCACTGCATGCAAAGATGAATATATTTGAACATGTGGTGGGTGGAAGCTGCCTTGCCTACTGAGTTTAAGTATAAACAGAAAAAGGATATGAAATCTATTGTTCTGATGACATTGTTTTACGAATCTAACAATGTGAATTTTTAAAGCTTTTGCTTCTCGAATATATTTTCAAAAGAAGACACTTAAGTACCCCGTCCCATGCAAGAATATTGAGACACACACAAAATCTGAGTGATTTTCTATGACCCCAAGTTTGCAAGTTTATGGCAGAACCAAAATCAGAACACAGGTTTCTGCCTCCTACTTCTGTGCTGCAATGTTTCCTCTGCAATTTGTTAAAACTGATCCTTCTGTGCTTTCCAGCAAAATGCACAATTAGGGGCTGACTCAAGTACACTGAAGTCAATGGAATTCTATTTAGCTCTGTGGCTTCTGGACCACTTATTATATATTTCATGTAGCTACATCTTTTTCATAAATTGTTGACTTACAGCTACAAAGACTGCCTTCGTATGTGCCATTGGGGGAGGTACAACTGTGTGCATACTGCTGAGGTTTGGGGTTTTTTTTGTAGTGTTTCTAACCCGGAGACCATTGTACATGAGTTAGTGATCCACAAAACAGTTAACTGGAGCAGGCCCAGACCTGTGCTGTGCTGTGCTGTGCTGTGGGAACAGCTTGGCCTTCAGGCCTGGCTTGGGCTGCACAATTTCCTTGGTCGCAGGATAACCTCTGCCAGCCCATTTTGACAGAGGAGCCTGCAGGCAGCTCCCACGTGGTACTGGCAATTACACTACTTGTGTGCCTTGTCTTCATCTAAAAGTGCAGCAAGAAGTTCTTATGTGAGCTTCTTTTCTGTTTGTCAGTAGAAATGATGAAGAGAATTATTTTCTTGTAAGAAAATCATACAATAGCTTGGATGACCCAAAGGGAGGAGCTTCTTTTCACAGACAGGATCTGGGCAGCATGATGTGGGAAAATCCATACAGGGTCTGTCCAATGCTGCACAAACATAGAGTTTCCAACATCCTGTAAGATTTGCTATTTGTATTCCTCTTTTTATTCTATCTTATTAAAACATCTATTTTGTTAAGCCAATTGTTGTTGGGTCTGTCTTCTGGAGATCCAGAAAGAACCCTGCTGACTGTTTCTCTCTTTCTCACCTCACAAAAGGTAACATTAGGAAATCTTGGTGTTTGGTATCAATTATTTGGACCAGTAACCTACTTCATTTGCCTGCAGATGTTCTACAAGTTGTACAACTAGTAACCTGATTTACAGTGTCTTTTCTTGTAAAGACTTTGACCACCATTTTGCGTCAAGGACTTTTGCTTAAGGTTTTCCACAGATCATAGAGATAATATGACCTGCTCAAATTGCTTGTGCAGTCCTAGAAATCTCTGCCACAGGTTTCTATTTCTTGCTGTGTTGCCAAACTATTGCATATGCTTTAACTTATTTCTGCCTTAAAGAAACAAGTTTTTTCACTGAAAAATAAGTATACCATAAAGACCATGTCTTAAACCCCTAACTGAAGCTGAGCAGACTAGCAATAATCTCCTGCCAAACATAATATTGAGGATAAATCACTGTCCCAAATCAATTCACAGCAGAATGGGTGTATAAGAGGGTAGTATCACAGAGATGCTGCATCACAGATAAAATATTCACAATTCACACCTCTAACACAAGCAGTTTCAATGACCCATTCTCCATATGCTCATCTACATCTGCCTCCTTGAAGAGGTCAGTTCCTTTTTTCTAATTTATTCTCTTTATTTAATTATTTTACCTTTTCCCCAATTTGCTTTCTCTTGGTTTTGACCTGTTATATTTGAGATAAGTCTAACCTAACAAGAAAGCACCTTTAAAGTGTCCTGTCTAGCTGGGGTGTGTGTGTGTGTCTGGTTTTCTGTTTTGTGTTCCATAGACCAGATGACCTCCAGAGGTCTCTTCCAACCTCGATCAGTCTATGATATTCCTTGTCTTCCATTTTCTGAGTTTTCCAATGTGCTTTAATATTTGGTTCCCTCAGCAATAGGCTAAACACATCACTGTCAGTTCTGTAAAGAAGCACACAAACTTTACCAATCCAGGAAAATTTCTGGATCCCTTCACTATCTTCTTTTAAAACTTGTGAAAACTAAAGCCCAAATAAGTAACTGGCTGCCTCTTGTCTGCAAGCATGTTAAAAAATTAACTAGAACTGTCATGCTGCTATATCCCTTTAAGTCAAACTGCATTTACAAATCTAGTGACCAACTGCTTTTGTATATAGGTACATAAATGTTACAGAATCACAGGTGACACTGAGAAAAATAGTGGCAGCAAAACTGTATTATAAACCAAATTCTCCACCAACAGTCTAACTGGTATTGATACATCAGTAGGAGAATTTGCTCTTAGGTTTCAGCCTCTAAACACTTCTATGTCCCTCTAACAGACAAGATGCAGGACCACTGCAGACCTGTAGCATTATAGAAAATAAGGCTGGAGGGAAGTCTGGGAGACTATTTAACCCACTTCTCTCTCCA